GCGAGAATGGGTGGACGAATGGATTGCTTCGAAACAAACATCGTTTTATCGAGATGGTATCGCCCAGTTGCCAGAAAGATGGCAAAAAGTTGTAGAAAGTGATGGAAAATACTTTCATTGAAATAATTTAAATAAATTTTTTACAATAAATGCTTTTTCTCAGTATTTTTTGGGCGGAAACTAAGTTAAGGTCCTAATAATTACCTTTCTTATTAACTGTCGCATTTAATTAACGACTGATATGAGCCAATTCATTTGGAGACTGTTTAATTGACAATTTATTTCAATTGAAATACAGTCGCAGACCGTTCGATCGACGATTAATTTCAACGAATTCTTATTAAAAACTGTTCTATTGAACCATCTTTGATTCCCTTTGCTCATATCAATCGTCAGTTAGACGGTCTTTAATTGAATTCGTTGAAGTCAATCATCAATTAAACATTCTTCGATTGATTTTGGTCGCATCAATCGTCAACTAGTTGAATTGGAATATATTGTGATTCGGATTAATTATTAAATTGATGAAAACTTAATTGATGTTTTTACGACCTTGTCGACGATCAATTATCTGTCACGCGGAAGCTACGCCGATGACGAATGCAACGCGATGAATCGCGAATCAGACGATTATACTGATAAATAAATAATGTCGGGAGATTGATATGACGTCTCAACGTCACGAAAGCAATGATATGTTAATGTCTATCTGATTATCGTCATGTTTACGTGAACATGTTGGCGCGTTCACTTGTTCATGTAACATGTCGTGCTAACTCACCTCCGGCGGGGCGTCCTTCTCCAACAGCAAGGCGTTCTTATGGGGTTTCTCGATACACGGTTTCTTGAAGGCCCAGTCACACATGTTTTTCTCGTTGTTCCAATTCAGACCTGGGCCGCACTGCTGCGAGACGAGGTCGCCGTTCACGCAAACCAAAAAGTGCGTGCACGAGTCCGGCGAGGGGTAGTACTGGCCGTGCTGGCACGGTTTTTTCGGCTTCTCCGTCGTTATGATGGCGACGGGTTTCGTTGTGGTGAACCTCGTAGGTCGCTGAGTAGTAGTAGTAATAGTAGTTGTCGTTGTTCTCATCGTAGTCGTAGTTTTGGGAGTTGTGAGAGTCATAGGTCTCTTCGTTGAGCTCCACGAAGGGCTGCTCGTCGTCGTCGAGGTCGAGCCTGAGGAGAAGACGCAGAAATTAATGATGCGCGATAATAAGCCGTGTAAATGACGAGTGGATACGCGGCGATAAATTGAAGTAACTTCATTGCAAATTGATACAAATTGAATCGGGGGCGTCCAGCACCTCGATAAGAGACCTTATACACTCCCTGCGCGATGCAATTGAGCGAGAGCAGAGTCAATATTATACACGAGCGCTGAAATAGAGGAGCCATGATTCCCGCAAGGCTGACAACGCGACGAGAAAGAACGACAGCAAGTCGACGCCGCTGTCGTACCCTCGCCGATACTGGCTTGGCATCCTCGCTGCGAAGCACACAGCAAAAGGGGGAGGATGCGAAGAGGGATCCTTAGCCGGAGGCGACAGACGACAGGAAGATATGTACAACCGCGAGGTATTTGCACGTGCGTGACTCGCAAACAGGTTTGCGATCTCTCGCCTCGTCGCTGTGGCGATCTGTCCACGTGCTCGTGAGTTATTGAATTATTGAAAAAAGGCCCGCGATCGAGGAATGAGAGTCGTGGTGCTTCATTTTCAAGAATCACCGAGGGATATCCATATTCACCGCCCGCGCGACGATCAACTTCAGCGTCACGATGAACGCGCGTAATTAATAACGAAACGCCAGTCGTATTTTGCTCGACGATCATCGCACACGATGAGCCCGCACTGAAACGGCCAATCAGCGAGCCGATTATTATTCATCGTCTACTTCACCTGATCATTTCGAGTCGTTTAATTATCGAGCGTCGTTCTCTCCCGATCGAGAAACAGGAGAAAAGAGTAAGGCAAGAAAGACAAGCACGATCGCCTGAATTGATAGAGAAACAGCAACGTTATTCGCTGGTACGTATCCGGCTGATATAGAATGATATCAGTCTGGTAGGTAAATATGTACACGTAAAAGATAGATGTAGTATATATATAAGTAGAAATATATAGTTGCGAGTGATATCACTTTAGTTATCTTTGTATGATATGTATGGTTGATAAGACTCAGTTACTTTGGTGTATAGTTGCGCATGATCTAGTTGTGGCAATCAGAAATCGGTTGGAGTGCCATTTAATACGGGTACATTCTAGTTTTAGCAACCAGATATTGTCATTACTGCAACGCAAGTAACTCAGCAATTGCTCTGTGGTTGCGATAACTACACGATTAGTTGTTTCGTATTTTACTACTGAGTCTGCTTGGCACCATCAGATTTATGGATGGGTCAACCATGCTGTTTTTTTTCCGGTTTAGGAATCTCACCGGCCTCCACTTGACATTTCGCCGCCGAGGGCCAATCGCACAGACGTCGCTTCGCATCCCAATGTAGTCCAGGCGCGCATTGTTCGCGCTTCAGCTCGCCGAGGACGCATCGGTAGTAGTTGCCGCAGTTCTCAGGGTCGCTGTAGTACTCGCCACTGTTGCAACTCGTTCCTGGCGACATGGTCGGCGTCACCTCGGCTGGCCACTGCGTCGTGGACTCCGTAGGACGTGTGGTCGTAGTCGCTCTGTCGAAGACATTTACTGAGTAAACGCGCAGACGAGTAGCCGCAAATCTCTCTTTCGAGATTTAATGTTCAATAAAATTACTTGGTTTCCTAGCATAGGGAACTTTCACTTATTTCCTTAAGTTTTATAGCACTAAAACTTCTGTGCCTGAACTCTTATTAGCTCTTTTTTATTTTGATTTTTTATTTATATCTTTGAAGTTCTTTTGTTTTTTAATAACCTTTCGAGATCGAAAGATCTTTCGTCGTCTCACCTCGACGTACTCGACGGCGTCGTGGTGCTGGTAGGTGTGCTCGGTTGCAGAGACGCCGATACAGTCGTGCTGGGTACCGTCGTCTCCTGCTGTGGGATCTTGCTGGGTTTCACGGTGCCCCACGTCCACGTGGGCCACGTGGTTCTGGTGCTTTGCTGAGTCGTGCTGCTCGGTCTCTCCGTCCATGTGGGCCACGTGGTCGCCTTGGTGCTGGACGTCGTCATCGGCGTAGTGGGTCGTGGACTGCCGTCCGCAGCGTCGCTGTGTGTAGTCAGCGTCGGTGGTTGAGGTGTCACCGGTTGCGGTGGACGTTGGCAGTTCTCTAAGGTGGGTGGCGGCGATGACAGGCGACCTGTCGTTTGACACATTATAATTAACGTCAGAATGGCTGCTGTTGGAAATAAAGGGACTGAATCATACGAACCCAAAGCGCGATTGATTGTCTTCAATAACGGGTATGACTCTAAACAGCAGCGATTCTGGAAATCGTCCAGATCGACAGTCCACATCGTGGCGCCGCCATAATTGTTCCCTGTGATGTACTTGCCCTTCGCGTAGACGCTCTCTCGATTCTCATAGCCCACCCACTGATCATCAAAGTGAGCACTGGGTCCTGAAATTGTAGACTTCGATACGTATCTTCTTCTTCGTTTCTTCTTCTCACCGGACATATTACGCATAGGGATTACCTACCAACTCCTGCTTTCCAGCCGTGTCGTTTGATCTTGTCGCAGATTTCGTAATAAGCCAACATTCCGGGTTGCTTGGTGAACTCTCCCGGTCTGCCGGGACCAGTCGTAGGGTCGCCCAGATCAGCTTGGCTCGCCGTCGCGAGTCGGTAGGACTGGCCGTACATCGGAATACCGATCAGAAGCTTCGTCTTCTCGGCGCCGAGCTCGACGAGATAGTTCATAGTGGAATTCTGAAAGGTTTCTGATGCTTGTAATATTTTCATCGTGCACGGAGAAAAAGGTTGGTTGAAATAACACGACAGTGAATGAACCAAACGCGTTTTGATTGAAAGAGATAGAATTTCTGACTCTGAGAACCGAATTCAGTAAGAACCTATTTGTTCCATTTTTTTCTTAGTTTTCTCTGAGGAAAAACAACGAGCTTTCGTCCAATTGAAGCTCGAACTTACGACGTTGTAATTGGGATTGCTGTCGCCGGGAGCGCCGAACAACGGCGCTATGTGTCCCGCTTTCGACTCCCAGGCTCCATGATAGTCGTACGTCATGACTGACATGAAGTCGACAGCCTCAGAGATTTCGCGCACTTCGTACGCCTTGTCGATGACCTCCTTGTAGCCGGACAACGCGACGGCCAAGAGGAGCGGCGGTTTTTGCTTCTCGAACTCCTGGCGCAGCTCGCGCACCAACTTGGTGAAGTTCGGCTTGTCGGAATCTGGGCCCTTCTTGCAGTCGCTCTGCCAACACTTGGGATAGCTCCACTCGAGTGACAAACCGTCGAAATTGTGCTTCTTCAGGTAATTCACCGCGCCGGCGATGAACTTGCGTCGAGCGGCATCGCCGCTGACCAGTCGCGAATACTTGTCGCCTGAACTGTCAGTCCATCCGCCCAAGGCCAGCAGAATCCTCGAGCCCTTGATCGACGTGACTCGTTGATACAGATCTGAAATAATTGGACAGTCGTTTGATCTCGTGTTTAATATGTCGACTATCGTTTTGGTTTCCATCGTTTATATGAAAACTCAACTGATAATTAAATCACCAAAGGTGAGAATGAATGTGATTCGAGAGACATAGGGAATCTGCTGCCAATCTACCGGTACACCGCTAACATTTTGCTTATTGCGCATAACAGGTGACCGTCGATATTGTTTGATCGGGCTACTTCACTCACTGTGCTCGTTGTCGGCCCAAGGATCGAATGGTTGAATCAGCAGAGTCTCAGGGTTCAGTCCGGCGAAGGCGTAGACGATGTCGGTGCACAGTTGCGAGTCCAGGTGTTCCGGCGCGAATTTACCGTCATCTTTCCGGTAAAGTGCCCAAGAGGTTACGTAACACACCACTCGTGGACCATCCTGTTCCAAAAGCTCCAACTTGTCCTGTTTCTCGGCTTCCGTTAGTGGCGCGAGCGAGCCTTCGTACGACACGACGTTTCGATCGGCGAAGATGGGCTTGCAGACGTCCGCAGTGGCCGCTACGCAACGTCCTTCGCTCGAGTCGAAGAATCTGCCGTGGCCGCAGTTGCCATGATACTGTAATCCTGAAGGAAAATAGTGTGCCACACTGTTAAATCCGTAGTGTCAAATTATACTCAATTTGAGTTATTTTTAACCATTCCTATAAGTCGTCACTGCTCCTATTAAATATGTCGTTAATTTACATAATGTAATGGAGTTAAATAATTTAACTTAAGAAATGTATTAAATTTGACTAAAATTTGACTAAAATTGTTGCATAGAGCTTTAGAACTTTTCAAGAGAGTATCAGAACTGCAAAAAAAATGTCACATTTTTGAATACGGTGTGCCAAGACTTGGCACACCATATTTAAAAATGTGACATTTTTTTTAAAGTTTTGATACTCTCTTGAAAAGTTCTAGAGCTCTTTGCAACAATTTTAAATAGTTCCGGTCATTAAATACAAAAAAATAGACTT